TGAATAATCTTTAATTCCACAAGTGTTATGTAACGGTGATAACGGATAATTTATTACTTGCCCACATCTCCAAGACGGATCAACAATTCGCAGGAAAACGAGCAGCAGCATTTACATTCCAAAATTTTCCCGCTTTTGGAACAGATTGGGTTTATTACTTAGCCAAAATTTAATATTTGTATTGTGACTCAGCTTAAGCTTCTAGCTACTCGACTTGATGTCTACTCATCAATCAAGTCAAGTAGCTGGAAGACTTAAGCAGAGATACAATACAATTTTAAAAGAATCAACAAATGTGAACACAAGAAAAAAGCATTATGTTTTCCTTGGCTATTCAGATCCCAAAATGTTCTTTTTAATTGTGATCGAGATAATTTAGGCAATAGAGAGGCTCAAATGCTTATCACAATGCTGCCACGTTGTGCTAAGTTGACAAAACAATATATACAGTAATTGTTGAATTCTTGTTCCAGAGAAAATGAAGGAAAATGCGGTATGTTTATTATGGATGGGATTATACATTAAAAAATCATAAACCAAAACTTTTTACAAACTTTGCTTTGCATCAGAAAAACGAATTGTAAAAGATCTTTTTGTCGCGAAATGGAAATAGGAAAAAGACATGACAAATCTTTATCCAATGATGTGCATAATTCTTACAGGTTGGTATCTTACAGCATTCACATAGAGCTTCAAGGAGCAATGCAAAATTCGCGTTCGATTTTCTCCTCATACAGGAAATTACGTTTGGTGCCATTCTACTGGAACCTCACTAGCATCCTTACAAAGGCTTCTTCTACAGTAGAAAACTAAAGAATTTTTTTAAAGGAATGGTTTTAAATGTAATGTACGGCGTGCTTGTTTGATACAGCTCAAACCTGATCTTACTGTCGACAAAAAATCAGTCAGTTGTAAGCGCGTTAGTGCACAAATGGGGTTAACCCTTTGAAAACTCATTCGAGACCTTCTTTTTGTTTCGCTTTGCATTTGCGATGGCACAATTGACATTAGATCATTAGAGTTCTGTTCGCTAGTATAAATACTTGACCATTGATACTGTTGTTCGCTCAGCCACCTAGCTCTAAAATGAGTAAGGTGATTGTGGTTGGCTCTTTAATTACGCTGGCCGCTGTGGTCTGCTCCTTGATGGCAATGACTTTCCTGCTTGAAGAAACCGCAACATTTCAGAAGGAGTTCGAAGCCGACATGGATGAGTTTAATGTACGAACGGCGTAGTCACAATCTAGTTTCAAATACATATTCTAATAAATTTAGGAGATAGCGGAGGACGCTTGGACATGCATCATATCGAAGCATTTGGATCCATTTGGCCGATGGAAAGCTGTTAATAGCTTTTCTGAACTCATACAACGTCAGCCTCGTGCCGCTGCCGCCTTGTACGATTGCAAATGCGCAGAGAAATCTGCAAACTGTGCACCCGGACCAGCTGGACCGCAGGGAGAGAGAGGACTACCTGGAGAGCCCGGACCCAACGGTGATGATGGACGACCTGGTGTTGCAGGAGTTGCTGTAGCAATAACGCACGACATTCCTGGCGGCTGTATCACCTGCCCAGCTGGCCCGCCAGGATCACGTGGAGTGCCTGGTGAACCAGGACCAGTTGGACCACCCGGCGGAATTGGGGTTCGTGGCCCACAAGGCCATCCTGGACGTATAGGAGAAACTGGACCACCAGGTGACGAAGGAGCACCGGGACAACGTGGACGTGCTGGCTCAGCTGGAGCCCCTGGAGAGTCTGGCACACAATATCTTGCAGGAATGCCGGGCGTTCCAGGACCTCAGGGACTTCGGGGAGAACCAGGAGAACCAGGGAAAGCTGGCGAAGATGGCAAGCCCGGATTACCAGGACCACAAGGTCCTCCTGGACTTCCTGGAAAGGAGGGACGTCCGGGTAGAGATGGTCAACCAGGACCTGTAAGTTTTGGTGGTTTAGAATAGTTCTTTTTTTAAAAAACCAGTAATTGACTTATTGCAGCCTGGAGAGCCTGGAAAACCAGGAGCAGATGGCCTCTACTGCCCATGTCCAAAGAGGCGCAGTCGCCGATTGCAGTCTACTCCTCCACAAGGCCCAGCACCGCCAGAGACTACAGGCTTTGCACAACGACCAGCCTTTTCACCAAGTGCA